TGGTGCGGTGGTCAAAGCATTCCATCACGAACCACAAGGTCTATGGATCCGCCGACGCTCCAAGGAAAGAGGCGGCAGGAAGATGCTTCTGCACAGGGCACAGCGTGCAGCCCTCAGACGGCCGGGGGCAGGCCCGGACAGCGTGCCAGTGGACTTCATTCATTGTTGCACTTTTCCCCCCCCCCCCCCTCCCCCTACTCTCTCTCCATCCCTCTCCACCTCCTCCATTTCCAATCCCTTTCCATCTCTCTGTTCCTCACATCTCTCCATCCCTCCCCGTCTCCCCATCCCTTTCCATCACCTCCAATCCTTCTCTGTTTCCCTCAATTCCTTCCCAGCCCCTCATCATTCCTACCTCATTCTTGTATGTGTTGAATCAAAACTCTGCACAGAGAAACAGAGGTAAAACCAAATCTTAACTTAAAATAAAAATTCGTAAATTTTTGTCACTTTCTCTGCCAACTAGTATTATCATCTTCATCATCTTCATTTCAAATTCCATGCTGTGAAAACTGCACAGTGCCAGATGGAAGGAAATGAAACACCAGATGAAATGAGGTAAAGGAAGATATGACCATGTGGATGGTGCAGAGGACGCATGCCCACCTTCTCTCTGCACAGGTGGGGATCAATGGTCACCTACGGGGCAAGCACCCATCCTGGGGGACAACTCTCAGTCAGTGAGGGGACATTCAGGTTGAGTGCTCACTACAGAGGAGAGCTCAGAGGCCCAAGTGCCACCCTACTTCCTCCACTGTGGACAAGCCTGTGGTCAGGGTACACAGAGATGTTCAGATGATGTCAGGATGCAGGGCAGGGACACTGCCCAGGCCCGAGAGCCAGCCAACAACAGCCTTCCCCAGGCCGAGGTCTGCCATGGTAATGGACGCTGTCTAGTGGACTCTGCAGACCTCCCCCCGCATTATTATGGGGTGCTATTTAGTGGACTCTACAGACCTTCCAGGTCATCGGGTGCCAGCTAGTTGATTCCAAGGCAAGTAGGAGAAACACTTGGGCAGACAAGAAGGAAGCCTGAGGAGATGGCTTGAATGAAGAGGTGCACATAACCAGCAGACACAGGGCCTGAGACGCGGGACGGGGGTGTTGAATCCAGCCCCTGCCCTGAGCCACGTAACTGCTCAGCATTAGGAACGAGAACACCACACGGGCTGATGAGCACTGCATGGACTGGTGATGGCTCTGTGGTGAGGCGCTGGGCGGGGCAGTGTGCGCTGACGTGCCACCTTTGCCAGGCTTAGCAAGAGCAAGCCAGCTCGGCTTACGTGATTAGGTTCTCCTCGCTGTCACACCGTCTTCCCAGCTCTGTGAGGTATGTACTGAAGGCAGTCACTATTGTTTAACCCCTAAAAATGAACTCTTGAGGTGGGGGGCATCTGTTTTGGAGGAAATGCAGCCAGAGTGCTCCTGAGAAGCCCAGGCGGTGAACTTTGTCTCACAGATTTTGGACATATCTTCAAGAGGGATCAGCCCCTAGAGAGGACATTACAGCTGGAAAAGGAGAGGGTCAGCAAAAGAAAAGGCCCTCGATGAGATGGACAGAGTCCCTGCAGCCGCGGGCTAAAGAGCAGGTACGACTAGGAGGTGTGCATCACACAACTCAGGACGGGCAGGGCCTGCTCTACAGTGAGGGTCACACGACTCAGGACGGGCAGGGCCTGCTCTACAGTGAGGGTCACACAAGTTGACTCTGCTCCGCAGCCCGTAACAGAGACAGCAGACAACTGTAAAATGCACCTTTACTCCATGTGCTGGCCAATGTGAAGTGACTGATACAGCGCACACAGTGTACTAAACCCTCGTTAATAATGTTGAAGAGCTATGGGGTATGGACTGACGTGTGCCATTTGAAACGCATGGACAAAGCAGGATACATCAGTGAGCGGATACCAGGAAGGACTGGGGGGTGAGCAGGTGAGAGGGCAGGAGCGGTGAGACCTGACAGCAGCAGGCGGGGTTACAGCAGCTCATCATGAAACTCCAACAACGGAGATGCTCATGCTGCACAGTAACGGGGTGACTGGACACTGTCGTTAATTCATGACAACAACCACCAGGAAGGGACTTTGGGGGGCTTAGTGGTAAGGAACTGCACTGCCAATCCAAAAGTATGCACTTCAAATTCACCAGCTACTCCATGGGGAAAGGACAGGCCGTCAACTCCTGCGCGATTTACTGCCTCTGCAAATCCACTGGCGGGTCAGCTGCGGCGGTACACAACAGCAATCAGTGGTAATTAATACTAGAAAAGAAAATCCCATCCTACCAGAAGCAATCCACATGTTCAACGCAATCCCAATACGGATACCAAATTCTTTTTCCAAGGAGATTGAAAGGGAAATTGTCAAGTTTATCGAGAGAGGCAAGAGACCCTGAATAAGCAAAACACTTCTGAGAAACAAAAATGAGGTGGGAGGCATAACACTACCTGACCTCGAAACCTACTACATGTGGTACTAACCCAAACAGCATGTGACAGGCACACTGACCAATGGAACAGAATTGAGAACCCAGAAACAGACCCAGCTATCTATAGTCAACTGATATTTGACAAGGAAATAAAACCTGTCAAATGGGGAAAGGACAACCTCTTCAACAAACAGTACTGACAAAACTGGACTTCCACCTGCAGAAAGCTGAAACAGGATCCATATCTCACACCATAAACAAAAACTACAGTTTCACAATGACATGTCTGATTAGGGACTTTTATCTAGAATTTCTAGAATACTTGAGCGCCACAACAAGATAAAGGTAAACACAACTGAAAAATGGGCACAGGATATGAACAGACACTTAACCAAAGAAGACATTCAGATGACCAACAAACACATGAAGAAATGTTCAAAATCCCTAGCTCTAAGAGAGATGCAAATCAAAGCAACTATGAGATACCATTTTACCCCAATAAGAATAGCAAAATTCAACAAAGCAGCAAACACCAAATGCTGGCAAGGTTGTGGAGAAACTGGAACCCTTATGCACTGTTGGTGGGAGTGTAAAATGGTGCAACCACTGTGGAAGGCGGTATGGCGCTTTCTCAAAAAGTTGCAAATAGAGATACCATCTGACCCAGGAATTCCACTACTGGGAATATACCCCAAAGAAACTCATAATCGCCATCCAGGCAGATATATGCACACCCATGTTTATTGAGGCTTTGTTCACAAAAGCAAAGAGCTGGAAACAATCCAAGTGCCCATCAACAAATGAATGGATAGAGAAGCTGAGGTATATTCACACAATGGAATACTATGCTGCATGGAAAAGCAAGGAACTCATGAAATTTTATACAAAATGGGTGGCCCTGGAGGACATTATGCTGAGTGAAATATCTCAGTCACAAAAATACATATACAGCATAGCGCCACTGCTATAAAACAGGACTGACCTCGGGGTTAGGGGGACACTGAAAAAGATGGGATAAATAATGTATACTGCATTGAAACAGATGAGGGAGAGAACTGTTAAAAGGAATATAGGATTAAGTACTATTTTCATGACAAGATTACAGAAAAAGAAATGCATATTAAAGTGGACTGTAGACTAGGAGCGATTGCATAACAAAGAAAGATTTTTTTCTTCAAAGAGATAAATGAACTGGGGGCGAGGGGTGGGCAGGGAGGAAAATGTGCAACAATGAATGAATGGGGTAAAATTAAATGGAAAGAATATGCTGTGAAAACTATATATGCTGCATTAAAAATCATTAATAAAAAAGTTAATTTAAAAAAAGGGAGAGAAAAAAGAGACTGTTAAATACAGCCAGAAAAGTATAATCTGAAGAGGATAAAACTGATGAATGGGACCGTCTAAAGATTTAAATGTCTGTGTGCATCAAAACAGGGTGAAAAGAAAATCTACCAACTGGGAACAAACATTTGGCAATACCATCAGAGACAAGAGTCTCATAATGAAAGTTTAAAGAACACTCCTGGGCCTCCACAAGAAAAGACCGATAATCCAAACTACAAAGTGGGCAAAAGACATGGAAAGAATTTTCACAGAGGAAGGTGGAGGCCACGAGGAGCCCAACTCTTCAGCAGAGCATTTAGAGTAATGTCCACAGCGGGCGTCAGGAAGGCAGCCACCCAGGGGGTTTCGCAGGTCCCCAGGGCCAGGCACACGCGGCTGAGCGCCCAGAGGAGGGAGTCCACAGGAACCTGACACAGAAAGGCCAGCGAGCAAAGCCGGGCGTTCACACCCGTGAGGAAGAGTGGAGAAATGAGGCTGCAATTAAACAGCAGGGCTTCCAGGGGAGCAGTCTGGCAAGGCATTCAGGGAGCATGCTGTATCCAAACAGGGGGGCCTCGTCAGTGAAGGGGTAGCACCGCGGGGAAGCAAGGAGATGAACTGATGTGCAGGCTCCTGGGGTATAAAGGTTCTCACACGTAAGACGGCATTAGGGGCGCTTAGCACTTCCATGGGCAGCTCTTGGAGACCTGGTGGTAAAGAGCTGCACTGTCAGAAGGTCTGCAGTTCAAATCCACCAGCCGCACGGTGACAGAAGATGGACAATGTCCTCCGCGATCCCCTGGAGGATCCGCTGCACCAGACCCAACTCAACGGCACACGACGATGAGGTCTGCCCATCAAGCTCCACGAGCAAGCCCGGCCACACGCCGCGCTGATTCACCGAGGGCCAGCGAGGCTGTGGCACCACGAGGACACCAGCAAAGCGAGGCTGGGCATTCGAGTGTCGTGGTGCTGAGGGGTGCAGGGGAGCAGGAGTTAGCAGGGACGGGGCCTGGACGCATCTGCCCTCGTGACTCTCTTGAACACGAGCTTCCTGTTCCCTTCTGGAAGTTCACTCCCTGTCACTGCTGTCCTCACAGCTAACCCTCCAGCAGGTTCTCAGAGGCTGCAGATCTCAGGGGAGGAGACTGTCCATCTCTCTTCAACAAAGCAGATGTCGGATTCGAATCATCTGCTGTGGAGCCTGCAGTGCAACTTGGCCACTAGGCCAGCAGAGTTCTCTGGAAAGTAGCAGCAAATCTTCTGCTGACTGCTCTGACAACATCTCTGAACCACAAATCACCACTTTCACAGATCAGAACAAGACATGGGAGGCATGGGAGGTGGAACACAGGCTCCCAACCTACCCCACCGCCGGGTGACCCCAGATCTATGCTTCAGGCCCTCCAAGCCCCAGCGTCATTATCTGTCAGGTGGAGAGAACACTATCTGTTTCCTAGTGGGTTTGAGGATCCGTTGAGTCAGGCCTGTTTTACATGCTAGGAGCTCAGCAGAGGACGACATGATGAGGCTTGGCTTCCAGCCATTAGCTGACAAAAAAGTAAACAGGGGTTTTGGCTATAATTAAGGTCCCCTCTCAGTTAATCCTGAGTTTGATTTAATAAAAACAAGAGGATATTCCAATTTTATCAAGTAAAAAACCCTATTAGGGAGTGAGTCTTCTGAGGTGAGTGTCTCTCTTCACTGGTGGAATCCCACCCGGCACTTGCAGGTGGCCTCCAGCCTACAGGCCAACCCCACGCCAGCACCTCAGTCCTGCCAACAGCAGAACTGTGCCCGGGAGCAGTGCCTTCCCCAGCCGAGCCTCCAGTGAGGCAGCAGTCCCATCAACACCGCAGTTACAGGACACCTGCCCATCCGCAGAAGCCAGGCTCTGAGAGACGCTGGCTGTTTAAAAGAGCTGAGTGTGCAGTAATGGGCTAAGGAGGAGGGGACGGGGAGGGGAGGGGCTGGGAGAGCGAGAGTGAGAGAGAGCGCACACTCGCGCACACACATGCATTCTCTCTTATTCATTCATTCAGATATCCCACAGACAGGCAACGGGAGGATGCAACTGTTTCAGAAATCAGAAAAGACTTAGAGAAGAAAGTGCTCTCTAGTGTCAGGAAGACACAAACAGTGAGCCATGTAGCCATGGCGGGTGGGGAGCACCTCAGGAAGAGACCAGCAAATGCCAATAGTCTGACGCTATGCAAGCGTCCACTGCAAGTTACACAAACCAGCAAGAGGGCTTGAGCTCAGGTGCAAGAGCTGGCAGGGGGGAAACCATGGGGTTAAGGGGGAGGGGCAGGGACAATGATTTTGAAAAGAAAATGTGTTCATGAATATTGGCAACAATGTAACTCATAAAAGTAGAAAGTTAAAAACCATCCCAAAGTCCAGCAACTTAAAAAGGTGCTCCATTCAGACAAAAGAGTATTATTTCGCAACAAAAAGAACAAAGGACTGATGCAGGGGACACCAACCCACACCAGACTGAGAGCATGATGTCATGGGGAAGAGGTAGGTCATGGGGTCCACACCCACAGGAGCCCACGCCCGCACCCAGGAGCCCACGCCCGCACCCAGGAGCCCACGCCCGCACCC